CCAAACACTTTATACCCTTTGTTATCCCTTTTGAGCCTGTGTTATTTTCTTTGACCACCCTCTTTTGGAATCAAGTTTAGACAAAAGTAAAAAAAATGAAATATAAAAAAATGAAAATGAAAAAAAGTCCATGCCCCAAGAGTAAAAACTAAGGCAATTGTTAGAAAGTTCAAATGAAGAAAAGAGAGAAGAAAAGAACAGTCAAAGGTCCATGCCCCCAGAAAATAAAAACCGGGGCAACTTGTTTTGAAAACAATAGGAAAAAAAAGAACAAAAATGAAAATGAAAAAAAGAAAAGAAAAAGAAGACAAAGAAAAAGAAGAAAAATAAAAAAAATAGTTAGGTCAGATGTTGTGAACTATGTTTGACCTGATTCCTTTAAAAAGGATACGTAGACAGCCTTACACGGTTCGGTCCAACCAAAAAAAAACCAAAAATCCAAAAAAAAACCTCAGTGTCTGAAACTGGGGCAAAGATTTTATTTCACATTTGAAAGAGTCGATTCCAAGATCTGTAAGTCTACAAGCCCTCATTTTGAGTCTACTTTGAGCCTTCATGCCGACCTTTCTTTCCAATCCTATCCAAAAACCTTCAAAATAAAGACCTCCCGGTATGCCTTCAAGAATACCAAGAGACGCATGCAATGAGCAGCAGTTGTCACACGATATAGAACATTGTCAAGTTGCTCACAAAAGAAAACAAAAGGGGAAGAAAAAGAAAAAAGAAAAATGAGAGTCTTACTAGTGAAAACCCTTACGGGCACTATAAGGCGACGGTAAGTAGAGATAAATAAATGAGAGATACTTGTTGGTGAAAATCCCTCGGGGCACCACTAGTTGAAAGTGAGTTGTGAAGCCGATGCAAAGAATTGGCACAAACAAGCCTGACTTCAAAGGTCATAAGAATGGTAAAAGGAAGATTGAATTAGTTTGATACATCGGTCGTTAAGTCCAAAATGCATGTCATGATCATTAAGGCTAGTTATTGGAAAATTTTATTAAAATAAAAAAAACTCTTCCTTCTGTTCTTCCCGACAGGGGAATTTCTTGTTAATATTGTTTATTTGCATCATTGTGTCCTTCACTCTGAGTCGGTCCTTGTCAAAACAAGCAAGAAAAGATTTCAAAATCTGCTACCAGCTTTTCAGTTGCACAAAGTAAATTTGGCCAGCACACTCAGTTGTTACTGTCAACATGCCTTGAGAATTCATGAAAAGGCGTCCCCCCAAAAGACTCTTGTCAGCCTATTCGGTTAAATGAAGCAAAGATAACCTCAAGGTTAATCATGAATTCTCTGTAGTACCGAGCAGTGACTATGAAGTGTGCACACCATGCAAAAGGCTCTTACCTGTTGTGATTCTCTCTGAAAGACAAATTACTCTAAAATCTAAGCCATTCAAGATATCAGAAAAGTTTATTCAAGAAAAGAAATCTCATTTTTGAGATAAGGCTGACTGAGCCACAAATACAAATGGTACTGGGGTGAAACAATCAGGTTGATGCAGAGCGAAAGTCTCTTGAAAACTCAAGCTGATAAAGCCAAGTTGCCCAAGACTCAAGGCCACAAACGACCACCACTTTCAGAACTGACAAAATTTTCTTTGTTTGAAGCAGGAATAAAGCAGTGCAGAGAAAGTGATTCCAAAAAAAAAGGATGACAAATGAAAAAAAAGAAAATGAAAAGAAGAGAAGAGCCGACAAAGGGAAGTTTCTCAAATCTTTGCCTTTATCTGTCTTGCTAGTGTGCATAAAATGTTGTCATTGCTCTTCGCATTTTTTCTCCTAGGATAAAAAGTCCTAGTCTAATGAATTTTCTCCCAATAAAAATCTTAGTCTGATGAATTTTTCTCCTAAGATAGAAAACCTAGTCTGATGAATTTTCTCCTAGGATAGAAATCTTTGTCTGATGAATCTTTCTCCTAAGATAACAAAAAAGGGACCTAGTCTGATGAACTTTCTCCTAGGATCAAAATCTTAGTCTGATGAATTTTCCCCTAGGATAGAAATCTTAGTCGGATGAACCTTTCTCCTAAGATAACAAAAAAGGGGACCTAGTCTGATGAACTTTCTCCTAGGATCAAAATCTTAGTCTGATGAATTTTCTCCTAAGATCAGAGCCCTAGTCTGATGAACTTTCTCCTAGGATAGAAATCTTAGTCTGATGAATGTTTCTCCTAAGATACCAAAAACCAAAAAAAAAGAAAAGAGACCTAATCTGATGAACTTTCTCCTAGGATCAAAATCTTAGTCTGATGAATTTTTCTCCTAAGATAGAAAACCTAGTCTGATGAATTTTCTCCTAGGGATAGAAATCTTAGTCTGATGAACCTTTCTCCTAAGATAACAAAAAAAGAAGGAACCTAGTCTAATGAACTTTTTCCTAGGATCAAAATCTTAGTCTGATAAATTTTTCTCCTAAGATAGAAAACCTAGTCTGATGAATTTTCTACTAGGATAGAAATCTTAGTCTGATGAACCTTTCTCCTAAGATAACAAAAAAAATGGGACCTAGTCTGATGAACTTTCTCCTAGAACATAAATCTTAGTCTGATGAATCTTTCTCCTAGGATAGAAATCTTAGTTTGATGAATCTTTCTCCTAAGATAAGATACCTAGTCTGATGAATTTTCTCCTAGGAATAGAAATCTTAGTCTGATGAATTTTTCTCCTAAGATAGAAAATCTAGTCTGATGAATTTTCTCCTAGGTTAAACGTCTTAGTCCGATGAATCTTTCTCCTAAGAAAACAAAAAACCTAGTCTGATGAATTTTTTTCCTAGGATACAAAGTTTTAGTCTGATGAATCTTTCCCCTAAGATGACCAAAAAAAAGGACCTAGTATGATGGATTTTCTCCTAGGATCGAGGCCTTAGTATGATGAATTTTTCTCCTAAGATAAGAGCCCTAGTCTGACGAACTTTCTTTTAGGATCAAAATCTTAGTCTAATAAATCTTTCTCCTAAGATAGAAAACCTTGTCTGATTTCTCCTAGGATAAACGTCTTAGTCTGATGAATCTCTCTCCTAAGATAACAAAACACCTAGTCTGATGAATTTTCTCATAGGATACAAAGTCTTAGTCTGATGAACTTTTTTCTAGGATAGATGTCATAGTCGGATGAATTTTTCTCCTAAGATATAAAAACCTAGTCTAATGAATTTTCTCCTAGGATGGAGAATAGGTTCAGTTTTACTTTAGTCAAGCTTAGTTCATAGTTTTCTGCAAGCTCAATCTCAAATCTAGGAGACGCACTACCGTGTTGGAGACATTCACGTTTTTTAGCAGGCGCATTTGCTAGTCAAAGTTTCTTGGTTTACTCACAGGAAACGCACATCCTAGTCGAGTCTTTAATTTTACTCTCATCATAGCATCCTTCATCAATAGCATAGGTGGTATATAGTTCTGCTAATAACTCACAAATCTTCCTAGTGCAAACTGGGGCAGAAAAGTTTCTTTTATTTTGTCTTTTTGCTGTAGTATCAGGCGCCCACCTGGAGAATGAGGGAATTCATTTCAAGTTTTATGTTATAGGCAGGCGCCCACCTGGAGAACGAGGAAATTCATTTCAAGTTTTAAGTCAGTAGCAGGCGCCCACCTGGAGAATGAGGGAATTCATTTCAAATTTTAAGTCATTGGCAGGCGCCCACCTGGAGAACGAGCGAATTCAGTTCAGTTTAAGTCATTGGCAGGCGCCCACCTCGAGAATGAGGGAATTCATTGCAAGTTTTAAATTGGTGGCAGGCGCCCACCTGGAGAACGAGAGAATTCATTTCAGTTTAAGTCAGTAGCAAGCGCCCACCTGGAAAATGAGGGAATTCATTGCAAGTTTTAAACCAGTGACAGGCGCCCACATGAAGAATGAGGGAATTCATTTCAAGTTTTAAGTCAGTGGCAGGCGCCCAACTGGAGAATGAGGGAATTCATTTCAAGTTTTAAGTCAGTGGCAGGCGCCCACTTGGAGAATGAGGGAATTCATTTTAAGTTTTAAGTCATTAGAAGGCGCCCACCTGGAGAATGAGGGAATTCATTTCAAGTTTTAAGTCATTGGCAGGCGCCCACCTGGACAACGAGGGAATTCATTTCAGTTTAAGTCAGTGGCAAGCGCCCACCTGGAGAACGAGGGAATTCATTTCAAGTTTTAAGTCAGTGGCAGGCGCCCACCTGGAGAACGAGGAATTCATTTCAAGTTCAAGTCATTGACAGGTGCCCACTTGGAGAACAAGGAAATTCATTTCAAAGTTAAGTTCAAATAAACATAAGGAGCCCGCCTGAAGAATAAGGTCAATTCAAGTTATAAGTAGCAGAAGCTAGCCTCAAGAATGCGAGCCAAGAGTTCGAGATGCACAACAAGACTATAGAACATTCAAGGCAGAAGAGTAGATAGGATTTTGTAGTTTTTTTTGGATTTTTTTTCATTTTGATTTTGATGTAATAACAGGACCGCAGACCGGAGCCTCGACGAAACCTCACTCGACTCTCCAACCCATCATTCCATCATTCTACTTGAACTACATGCGACTTGATTCCATTATAACCCAGGATATGCAGGCTGTCCAAAACCAGGACTCGGTTGCACCTTTTTCTTTTATTTTCGTCCTCTTTTGAATAACGATATGGTCAAAAATTAGTCAGATGGCTCACTTTGTCTTTTCCTGAAAACTCTTCATGTTTCCAAGCAAAGAGGGGCAGCTGTGAGCACCTAATTTTTTATTACACTTAAATTTTTATCACTTTTTAGTATGTAAATATATTTTAAGTTTAGTCTATATATTTTAAGAAACTACAAAAAGAGTTACATTTTTAGAGTATTAGTTTTATCTTCAGTTACAAGGAAAGAAAAAGTTTTAATTTTTAAGTTAGAGGCTTTCAACAAATAAATATTGAGCATGTAGTAATTTTAAACACACACTTTGCACTATAATTTTATTTTAATACCTCATATGCACAAGGCCCAATTCGATAAAAAGAAAAGAGTCCACTTAATTCTTTCCACTCTGAGCCCATGTTTTTTGAGCCCAGGACTCACACACAAAAGAGGAAAAAAGGAGCCCACAAAGAACCCTAAGAGCAGCTTTCTTTTAGAGAGGGAGGTCCCAAAAAAGCTGCGGAGGAGCTTGACTCCATCTCTCCTATTTTCCCAAATCACCATGGAAAACTCCATAGTTACATAGCTTCCCACCCTAAAGCTCCCCAAATAGCCACAAAATTCACCTTGATTAACACCAATCTTCAGCTCCAAAGCTGCTGCAAAAATGCAGCACTTCTCCTTCCCAAACCGGCTGCAAAAACACTCCAAAAAGACCTGAGATAGAGCAGCTGAAAACGTTGATCCATCACCTCCAAAATCCAGCCATGAACACCAGTGAAACCACGCTCCTTTTGCAGCTGAAAATCAGCTGAGAACTCAGCTGAAAATCCGTCTAAATCTGCCACCTTTTAGCTCCTAAAATCAGCTCCTTTCACCTCCTAAAACCCAGCAAAAATCTGCTGCAAACAATCCCAAGCTAGCTCCAAAAATCAGCCAAAAACACAGAGCTGAAACAATCCCCAAAAAATACAGCTGCGTCGCACCTCGAAACAGCCGTGAAAGGCATGTGAAACCGCCCCGTACACAGCCTTGTAAAGCTCCCATTTCAACACTCAAAATCAGCTCCTAATACATCCTTAGAACACAAGCTTTAGTCGAGTTTGAGGTTACAGACGAGGTCGTAGTTCGTTAGCTCCGGTCGAGTCCAACTGATGTTCAAGTATATCGGAGAATTTGGGCTCATCTATAAAAGATTCGGTTTGGAGGCTCGTTGTTCAGATTCGGTTGAGGTTCATTCATCCTTTTCATTACTGTCTTCGCTTCTAATATCATTTTTTTTGTTAGTTTTCTTTCGATTTTTGCTGCGTTGCCTTATTAGTTGTTTGAATTAGTATTTTTTGTTGATTTTTGCTCTATTTTTTTCGTGGAAAGTTCAATTGATTGGCTTATTCCATTTTGTGATTGATCGGATTAGAATTGTATGGGCATAGCTTGGCGAATGATTAATCAGTGTTGATGGGCCATGAGCTTTTGATTTTTTTTTAAAAAGGGGAAAGCTTTGTTTGGGACTAGTAGCTATTAATAAAAGTGTTTCACTAAGTGCGTAGGGGAATTTGCTTTTCTATTAAGGATGATTGACCATATTAGAGAGTGTCTTTTAAGTGTAATTTAATTGAGTCTAGATATTGCCTTCCCGTTTACATTTAGTTTGCTGGCCCGTTCATAAATTAGTTGGCCCAATTATTGTAAATATATGTAAAAATCGTGTGGGGTAGCCACTTTTTAAAGTGGTATATACTTTTTATCCTGCATTTTTAATGCTTAGTAATAATAGCCACTAGTCTATTAAAATTAATAAGAAAAGACTGTGTTACCATTTCTTCTATCTCTTTCAACTCGTTGGGTAATAAACTAGATAAGTTCATGATTCTCACGTAATGAACTTAACAAAAGTGCAACAAATGATCTAATATGAAAAAATCATGAACATCAAATATATATATATATATATATATATATATATATATATATATATATATATATATATATATATATATATATATATATATATGTTGAATTGAATGATTTTCTTTCCTTTTGGCCGCGTTAGTCGTTTCGTTGGATGTTATTCTACTTATTGTGGAGGATGTGATGGTCTTCACATAAATCCCAATACTGTGAATGCCTTGATCAGTTGCAGTGCTGTAAAATCCACCAAAAGAACGATCATCTCCTAATTGAAAATTGAACTCTGCATAAAGGTGCGATGGATTGGACACAGTGTTTCGATTTGTTATTTCTGTGATGTATTTTTGGTTTTCTGCTACGTTATGGATCCTGAATTTATAGTTACAAGTTCAAAAGTTAAGGACACTTGGTCCTGAACTTCGATTCCAAGTTCAAAAGTTAAGGACACTTGGTCATGAACATAGAGTTACAAGTTCAAAAGTTAAGGACACTTGGTCTTGAACTTAGACTAACAAGCTCAAAAGTTAAGGACAATAGGTCCTGAACTTACAGTTACAAGTTCAAAAGTTAAGGACATTAGGTCTTGAAGTCCTGAACTTAGACTAACAAGCTCAAAAGTTAAGGACAATAGGTCCTGAACTTAGGCTAAGAAGCCCAAAAGTTAAGGAGATAGGTCCTGAACTTACAGTTACAAGTTCAAAAGTTAAGGACAATAGGTCCTAAAGTCCAGAACATAGACTAACAAGCTCAAAAGTTAAGGACAATAGGTCCTGAACTTAGGCTAAGAAGCCCAAAAGTTAAGGACAATATATCCTGAACTTAGACTAACAAGCTCAAAAGTTAAGGACACTTGGTCCTGAACTTACAGTTACAAGTTCAAAAGTTAAGGACAATAGGTCCTGAAGTCCTGAACTTAGACTAACAAGCTCAAAATTAAGGTACAATTAGGTCCCGAACTTAGGCTAAGAAGCCCAAAAGTTAAGGACAATAGGTCCTGAACTTAGACTAACAAGCTCAAAAGTTAAGGACACTTGGTCCTGAACTTACAGTTACAAGTTCAAAGTTAAGGACATGTAGTCGTGAAGTCCTGAAGTTAAGTTCAAAAGTTAAGGACATGTAATCCTGAAGTCCTGAACTTAGAGTTCCAAGTTCAAAAAGTTAAAGACATGTAGTCCTGAAGTCCTGAAGTTAAGTTCAAAAGTTACGGACATGAGCAGAAGGGTATTTTCGTTCGGGCAGTTAAAGTTTATTAAAGCAATGGCTAAAGACTAAAGACATTTTAAATAATGGCTTAAAAGTAAATACATGTAATATTAGTGGCTAACCGTGCGCTTCCCCCTAAATATATAAGACGTTCTTTTCTTTAATCACTACATGGGCCAAGTATCATTGAAATTCATAACATATTCCTCATAATTTTACTTCCATAACTCCGTGCCTCTCAATAATCTCAAATTAGCTTTAGGAAAATAATTAATGAACATTGTAGCTTTACTTTAGGCGCATTATTAAATCATCACGGCTATGGGTACGGTTCCCATGGCATAGTCATGATAAATAATTCCCAATTCGGATGCGCATTTCATGTGACCTGATCATAACCTCGAACAATAATAAAGTAAACATGTTGTAGATCGTGGGTACGGTTCCCGTGACGCGATTCGCAATGTGTACAAAAACAAACGAGTGCGCGACATCGTGACTTGTTCAAACAAATTCCATAAATCCTAAAAGCAATTCAAATTCCTTCTCCCGGGTTAACAAAATTCCTTATCCGGTCTTCTGTGTTAGCGAGCCAAAAATAGAGTCAATTTCCTCGATTTGGGATTTAAAATAAATCAGTGACTTGGGACACCATAAATATCCCAAGTGGCGACTCTGAAATTAAAATAAATATTTTCATTTCGATTAATATCACTAAAATCAGAAAAACTCCCTATTACTCACCGGGAAAAGGAGGTGTGACAAGCATTTCAACTTTTTACAGTTTAGGATCGAGAGTTATTTGGCATGGCCTTCAAAGGTTTTGGAACTGTTAGGCATATTTAATCTTGTTATGAATTTAAAGAATTCTCCAATACTTCTTTCACGTTATTTTGGAGATTATACTGGTCTTGTACTTCTAGTTTTATGTCTATAAGATGCAATGAATGTGTGTTTTGTTTATGTTACTAATTTATGTTTGTCTTAACATGTGCAGTTGCTCCACCCAAACTAGAGCTTATTTTTTTGGTATTTAGTATTTCTATTTCATCAATTTTTTAATAAACTCTCAGTACTCAACCATCAATCCAAATAATAGAAACACCCATTGATTAATCTACTAAAGATATAAAACTTGGCATAAATTCCAATATAACAAACAAAAGATCAAATTTTGAACAATATGCAAGCTCAAAGGAAAAACAATATTTTAAATGTTTCAATAGAAAGTTGAAAAGGTAAAAGAAATTAAAAGTATATTGCAAAATAAAAAAATAAAGAAAAAAAATAAAAAAGAGTCTAAAAGGGGCAGGGCGGGGCGCAGGGCAAAATTTTGAAAAAAGATTAAATGGACCAGGGCAGGGCGGGTTCAATATTTTAGCGGGTCAAGGCTTGACCTGCCCCGCGCTACCCTTCCACTTACCTATTTACATTCCTATGAACTGTATCACAAACCTGTTCTCCACTAACATAACCGCCAATCCTTTGCTCAAACTCTATTGTCTAGTAATAAACTTAATCACTATCCAACAACCAGCCACAGTACCTATTCTCATCTCAATTTTTCTGATGAGACAGCCAATGCCCTCAATGAGGATTCTTTTATACCTATAACCTCCATAGACAAAAACAGACTGTATTTGCCTTGAAAATACTCAGTTATCGTAAAAGTGTTTGGTAGGAAATTTGGGCATCAAAAACTAAGAACAAAACTGACTCAACTTTGGAAAACAACTGAAACACTACCACTGATTGATTTGGGCTGCGAATTTTTTCTCATCAAATTCCAAAAAGAAGAAAATATGCTTAAAGCACTGCACGATGGGCCTTGGTTTCTCTTTGATCACTTCCTATCAGTCTAACAATGGGAACCCAACTTCATCGCATCTACCACCCAGCTCACGTACTCTGCTATATGGATTAGATTGCCCGAATTACCCACTGAATTTTATGATATAGACATCCTATAACGGGTGGGAACAAAAGTAGGGAAGCTACAGAAAGTGGATACCTGTACGTCCGCCACTAGGGGCCATTACGCTCGTATTTGCATCGAAATGCCACTAGAACGTCCACTTAAAACTCATATATTTATTGGTAATCACCATCAACACATCCTTTTGTGAAAGACTAAACCTATTGTGCACCCTTTGTGGCCGATTAGGACATGTTTCCCTTCACTGCACATTCCCTACACCG